AGAGAGAGAGAGAGAGAGAGAGAGAGAGAGAGAGAGAGAGAGAGAGAGAGAGAGAGAGCACCTCTTTGTAGATCGGACGGCGCAAGTTGCGGGGCAGTTCCATGATGTGCAAAACACCTTGGGCATCACCAACGGCCAACAGCTGTGGACCTGCAAGCATCAAGCATGCCGTTCCGTTGTTGATGGCTTTTCTGTCAGTGCTCCACATGTCATGGACTACAGAAGACATGCACATGCGCATTCAGCTTGGTCACTTGGTGGCTAAAGATGTTTGGGAAGGAGGTGCCTTTGGCTTTGGTCATCACAGATGTCATCCCATCCATAAGCCTTTTCTGTAGATCACAACATCTAAATGAATGCAAATTAACCTGGCGACGAAAGTAGAGCTGTGTTTCCAAAGACGGCACTTAGCGAGTACTCCTCGGAGGGGTGCTGAGCATTCAGTCATTCATGCTGGGTGCTGTACATCTTCCCATTGGAGCTGCTGCATGTCAGGTCCTTTGTATTGCAAAAAACTTAAAAAAGGGATAATGCTTGGGGTTGGTAGAGCTGTGTGGTACTCCACACCCAGCAAGGCACATCATGTGTCCATCATCCAGTTAAGACGATGACTAGAGGTAACTTGTGAAGTACAGGCGCTCTCGATGTCCTTTTTTTTTTTTTTTTTTTTTTTTTTTTTTTCGTTTTTCAGAGTTAGCTCGAGTTCCCCCAGCCCACGTGAGAGATGGTGTACGCAAGAAGCACTACCGTCTTCACCCGAATAAAACGCCCAGTCATTGTCCCGTGTCCCATGTCCAGTGTCCTGATATGGTCCGGAGTATAAATATTGAGAGTAAAAAATACAGCTGTCCCCTGATGAGGAGAAGACAGCTTAAAAAAAAAAAAAAAAAAAAACTAAAGGGAAAACTAGGGCGCAGTCCAGGGTTTTCAGTTATAAATGCGTTGCAGTCACGGTCTCACAAATTTTGCTCCAAAGCAAGGAAAATCATGAACGTATCCAACCCAGCTTCTTCTTCTTCTTCTCTTCTTTTTCTTTTTCTTTTCTTTTCTTTTCTTTTTCTTTCTTTCTTTCTTTCTTTCTTTCTTTCTTTCTTTCTTTCTTTCTTTCTTTCTTTCTTTCTTTCTTTCTTTTCTTTTCTTTTTTTTT